GGTTAGGACCGAAACAAAATTTCCGAATCAGTTCCCAGTTTTGTGAATTGGGCTTAATCGGTTTTCTGTTCTTTTGGTCCAGTTCTAACGATTTTGGGTTTATTCGGTACTAAAAACCCGGAATGTAGTGTTTTTTCCCTTGTATTAGTAGGATATGTACGCACCTGTTAATCGCACAACACAAAACAAAAAAGAAATCCTTTTGCACTATTATATCATTACTGTTAGTTTGGTAACTACCGGTTTTTTCATAATTTGTTATGAGCAATACATTTGTAAGTCATGTAATACACATATTCTGGAAAGTGACTACCTTATAAAGGATTAAACCAAAAGTTGAGCAAATACCATATAATTTCACATGAAAATAACCCCAGTTAAGACAAAGTAATGCAAAAAAGATTCTATTTGAAAACAACCCCTAAGTTTTAAACATGTACCAAGCAACATCTTACAAAAAAAATCCCAATTTTTCTGGGTTTAGAACCTAAACCGGTGCTTTTTGGTTCCAAAGGAAATTACCCATGTTTTTCGGTCCTACCCAGTTAATACCCAAATCAGATAGAAAGAAGCACCTTGGTAACATGAACTCCAACTTTGTCTAGAGAACCAAATCGGTTGAAGTAGAACCACAAGAGCAAAAGAGATAACCATTGAAACAAACATCTAGTAATTGATAAAATGCAACACTAAATTTATTAAAATACTAATTTTTTGTCAAATGGTAACCATCTAAGATTGTGTCATGTCATGTGTGGACGACCTGATGTTCTCCTTCTGATGTCTCTATATATCCTACTCACTGTTTCATATATACATGAAAATAAGGAGAGAAAGAGAGCAACTGATGGTTCATGGCAAGGTACATATGTTTTTTGCTATTGTATGTCCTGGAAAAACTCATTTATATTAGATGTGATCATTGTGAAACTAAAGTCAATCTTACGAACACTCAAACTAGTAACTTTGTTTACTGCTTTACATTTCAGCTAAAAAGCACAGATGTCAGTATAGTTAAATTAAAGCCAATATTAGATACCCTACCTGCAGATTAAACAAAAGCACACATTCTTTTAACCCAAGTCTGTTACAACCAACCTGCAAACTGTACAAAAGCACACACCAAGTCAGTTAAAAGCACACAAGTTCAGGACTTGTTTTCACTATAAAAAATCATACACATACACCTAAATTCATAAAACCTAAATAGACGCATGATGAATATGGTCAATCTAAAGGACATCGAAATTCAAAGTAAATAATTAGAACAAATTGGGAGTTTAGGCATGGAATCTGTATATTTTTCAATGATGGGAGCATTGGAATTTAAATCTTGAATCTTTATAATCTGCACCATGCGAAATGAACAATTAGGTCTGTTAAAAATAATGCATATAGAAGTTACAGAATGTGAGAGAGAAGTTTATTCAGCTAGAGATTGATACGAAGGATCGAGTCTATTAAAAACTAACATACAATTATTATTAGTCTCGGATCTGCAAAGCCAACACAAAAAACATTGTTTGGATATGAATGATTGGGTCTCTTACAAACCCTCGTGTCCAATCAGCCCATAACTACTGTGTAGTACCTGAAGGTCACAACACGTGATGAATGTAAGTATATTTTCATGGCACCAAATGAGAAAAAAAAACCAAATTAACCTGATTTCATAGAGGAAGAAAAAAACTGGTTGATCTTATAATTCTGTCAATCGAGAGATGAAGAGGGAGGAATATGAATGGTGGCGACGGTGGAAGTGAGCTAAGTCCAGGGTTTAAGATCCAGATAGATACTAAAGGGAGGAGCGGTGTTGAAGGATTCGTGTTCGTTTGGTTTTCTATGGTGGTACTGACAGACGCGTATCAGTGCCATTTATGGTCGAAATATTCATGGTTGGGGTATATTTGAGAGAAAGGGGTAGAGGGTAGGTGGCAGAGCAGGAGCCGGATGTGGGTTGTTTAAGGCGAAAGGATGCGGAATAACGTTTAGGGTTGTGTTAATGGTTGCAGGTAGTCTCATTCTAAGATTTCGTAGAATCAACAGCGACGAATGGCACTGTTTTTGTTCATAGATCGTGTTGTGATGTTGGCGGTTGGAGATGGTGGTTGTGGTGGCGGCCGACGTTAGGGTTAGAGATGTTACCGGCGAAGGAAGAAACGAATCGTGGAGCAACAAATCGTGGAGCAACAAATGAAGATGAATGTAATAATTCGTGGTAAAGAGCACAACATTTCTGAGCAGCCGTGGAACAATAGATGTTACTGCTGAGGAAAGCAACAGGCCGTCCGTGTCTAGGGTTTTTCTTGATATGGGAGAGAGAGAGAGAAAGGAAGATGAGAAGCAATCCGTATAATAGGTTATTTTGAAATTTTGGGTTATTCAAATTTGAATCCCGTTTGGAATTCAAAATTAGCCGCCATTTACTTGTAAATATTCAAGGGTCAAGATTAATTCAATTAAAAATAAATGGCTATGATTTTGTTTCCTTGTTTTTAAGACAATGTCTTAAATTTTATGGGGACCACTAACATATATGTATTATAAAGTAGTAAGATATATATATATATATATATATATATATATATATATATATATATATA